TATCAAGAGTTACTGTCACATCCGTTTTAGAAGTATGCCAGAAAACCAGAAGTCCTGACTCCGCATTCTATATGGTACCTGTTTCGAAGGGGGCAAGGGGGCAGTTGTAATGTTGACTTGGACAGCACCCCATGGGTTGTAAGAGGCAGGAGGGAGAGGGCATGAGTCGGGGGTAACCGAGGAAACGTGAGACAGAGAAGTGGCTGGACGCAGGAGAGCAGTTGACGAGGGAGGGAAGAGAGAATAGCTCGAGGGCAAGGAGGACGACGTGTGTTGTTGTGGCGGGGGTGTGAGGAAGAGTGAGACCGGCCGAGAGAGGGCCGAGGAGGACTGCACATTGAAGCTACTATCGGGGATGGGTGAACTAAAGGGTGCTGCTGAAACCTGGTCCTCTAGAAAGGGATTCGGTGTAAGTGATCTCGGTGAGAGTTCTTTAGACAAGAAGCTGGATGACGTGATCAGGGGCGGGTTCGAATGCCGAAAAGTGACCTTGGATGAGGAGGAACTAGAAGCAAAAAATGAGGAGCTAGTGGAAGGGAATGGAGGGACTGGTGGGGGGGAAGGGCTGGTGCCTGCAGCGGGGGAACTCTGAGGGAAATAATAAGAAAAAGTAATATTTAAGTGGAGAAAGTGTAAAGCAGAAGATATGCAAGAGCAAATATTTGAAGTGGAGGACGCTACTACAATCACCGGGACTCTTTGACAGGCATATGAGGGAAATAATCACAGTCTTTTCTTCTGATTCTGTTTTCTGAAGATTGTGAAGAGAATTCAATAAAATTCTGTCAAAAAATCACTATTTAGTAAATTATTTTTATCGTATGTAGAGGAGTAAAAGTGACAAGTATCACCCACAAAATACAATGATTACTCGCAATGTCAAACAAGCATCATTGCCAATACCTAACATTATCAAAATAGTTGAAGCAATCACAACAAATCATAGTATAATAACGGTGATAATGAAGACGGTGATATCGATGAGAAACTACCACAAATAATGATAATAATGATGACAACAATTGTAATAATTGGTAATTACTACGAATACTAATAACAATAAATTAATATAACTGAAAACATGTATATAACAATTTCAAAGACAACTTAAAAGCAAAGGGTGATAAAATCAAACACTAAAAAAATAATAATCACAGTAATAATCGATATGATAAACAAAAATAATAATAATAATATAGACAGTAACAAAAATAACAATAAGAACAACAATGATAATGATATTGATAATGATAATGATAATAATAATTTATAATAATAATAAAAATAATAATAATAATAATGATGATGATAATAATAATGATAATATTAATAATAACAATAATAATAATAATAATAATAATAATAATAATAATAATAATAATAACAATAATAATAATAATAACGATAATAATGATAACAATAATAATAATAATGATAATTATAACAACAATAATATTAATGACAATAATAATAGTAATGAAAAAACAATAACAATAGTAATACCAACAGTACCACTAAAGTGATGGACATTAATATAAAATGGGAAAAAATAAATAAATAAAAATATAATAATAATAATAATGATAATGACAATATCGATGACAAACATGATGATACTGATAAACATAAAAATAATGACAATAATAAAAAAAAAACATTAAGAACCCTACTTTCGATTTTCTCTTCTCAAATTAAGGATTTCTTTGACTTGGTTTGGACGGCAATTCACCAAGTGTCTCTGAATATGATAAAAGACACTTCAATCCTTTTTTTTTTCTTTTTTTTAATTATATGACTTTAAAAATCTCTTTGTGCCAATGAAATAATGGATGAAACAAAAAATGGATAAACATAATGTACATGCAAATGAAAAAAACAATAATAATAAAATAAAATAATAAAAAATTATATATAAATACATAAATAAATAAAAATTAAGACTACAGAAGACAATAAATCTCACACTCCTTTTTTTTTTCTTCCAAATTTCTTCCAAAAAGAAAAAAAAAGAAAAAAAAAAAGAATAAAGAAAAAAGAAAAAAAAGAAAAGAAAAAGGAAAAAAAAAAATAATAATAATAATATGGATTGCTACAAGAAACAGAGAGACTGAGAGAAAGAGGTAGACATCTTTATCTGCATACTTAGTCAACCTTCTGCCCCCTTGCTTTTTTTATCTCTCCATTACACAAATGCAACATTCTCTGTGCTTCAAAAAGTCATCCACTACCCAACAACACACAATTCGACTAAAATGCTGACAGGAATGCTGTCTGTTTCTTCAACAAACACAGCTTTTCTTGGTCTATCTATCTTGCATATAGGAGTGAAAATAGTACAGTCAACTGACAAAGACATTGAATAACTACTTGATATATTACACAGTTCCAAGATTAGCACACAAAGAAGAGAACAATTCTTACATGCCAATACATAAACAAATAAATAAATGAGAGATGATGAGATGGGGGGGGGGGGGGAGAGAGAGAGAGAGAGAGAGAG